AAGAGAAGAAGGGGAAGAGGAGAGGAGGAGGAGGAGGAGAAGAAGGGCAGGAGGAGGAGGAGAAGAAGGGCAGGAGGAGGAGGAGAAGAAGGGCAGGAGGAGGAGGAGGAGAAGAAGGAGAAGAAGGGCAGGAGGAAGAGAAAGAAGAAGAAGAAGGAGAAGGAGGAAGAGGAAAAGAAGAAGAAGAAGAAGAAGAAGAAGGAGGAGGAGGAGGAGGAGAGGAGGGAGGAGGAGGAGGAGGAGGAGGAGGAGGAGGAGGAGGAGGAGAGGAGGGAGAGGAGGAGGAGGAGGAGGAGAGAAAGTGGATGATAAGGAAGACAGAATAATTATCATTCTCTACAGCATCTCATCCTTTAATCAGAAATATGTGTCATCAACATTTGGTGCATAATTTAATTAAATAATATTTATTTTGCGCAATAATGAGCATATAGACGAGGACAAATCCTATACACTACATACTACAGCAGTTATACCGCATACTACAGCATACACAGCATACTACAGGTTGAATATGCGAGATAGATTACCCTGCTGTTAATTATTGAAGTTAGTGTGTTATTGTAGTTATTGAAACTAAACATTCGATGATGAGTCATATAACTTTGAACAATTTTCTATCTTTATTGGTGGAATTTTGTCAAATAAAATAGAACGAAGAAAATTGTATTTTAATGGTTGAAATTCAAGAAATAATTCTGGCAGATCTATGTGAAAATATTAATAATGCATCTCGGTAGAGGCGCGTATATGCAAAATAAGAGATCCGCGGGGAAGGAATGAAGACTTTCTCCGTGTGTTTATTTTTCATGTGGTAAGTTTGAGGCCGGTTTTAATATTAATTAGAGTAATTTTCCATGGTCTGTCCGGTGGAATGTATAAAAGGTTATGGCGACGAAGGCTAGCATCGACTTTTTTGCGGGATACCGTACTTTTTGATTAGTAGTATATCGGAAAGTAGTGTACGTGGTCAAACACACCACTGGTCACAGCAACATCACATGAACAGCAATGTTCATCATTCGTCACATAAACATCAACATCACAAGCTGACGCGGGATTATGATCTAAACTATTCATGACGCTCTCCTATTCACCGAGCATGGGGACTGTTATGCTGAACGCGAAATTCGTCGCATACATGTCTTGCAATGCATCATTGCGTGTGCTTTTTTGAGTTACCGGCCATAGGGTCAAAAATGTACATGTAGAGTAAAATGTTGGAAAAACACTAAATTACACGAGAACAAAATATAGTATTCTGTTCTCAGCAATTACTACGAATCACTATATTCAGTTCATCGATATGTTAGACGCAAGCTATAGTCGAGATCTATTCGGCCGGGGATGTGATGTTTGTAGCTCTTCTTGCGCGTTTTTGTACCCTAGCTAGCATTGATGTCCTCGCACAGTTGGGTATATTATATGCAATGCGTCATGTCCCAAATGGAGTTGGTATACTCCGCCACCTTACACGTGGTCCTGACACGGCAGCGGGGCAGCTGTTACAGTAGATCGTATGGACAATTCTCCTACTCTCAGATACTCAAGGATACGTGTTGTGATCCAGTCAGTGTGTTCCGCAAAGCGGAAGCGTCAGCTTCGATAATATCAGGAGTAGATAATAGGGAATCCTATTATCTACTCCTGATAATTATGAGTGCGAAGAATCCCAGAGATGATTTCTTTACTAGCTTTTATATATGTTTGTATATATATATATTATATATAAATCCCCAGAAGATGATTTCTTCTCACCTAAGCTATATCATGTATATATATAATATTATATATATATATGATATTATCAGAAGTAGATAATAGGTGATAATAGGAAATTGTTCGCTAATTCTCTACTTCTGATATATATATGTATATACAGGAGTAGAAATTAACTTTTGAACACGGGAGTCCAACGGACTCCCTGCCCTCAAAAAGAGGGAGTCCGCAGCAAAATGAGGGAGTCCGCAGTCTGAGGTTCAAAATTAAAGATATTAACAATAACGCATGTGCTTATTTTGAAGATTCATGCGGTTGCACGTTTGCCAAATTTTCTTTGGTCATTTGCTGAAAAAATATGGTAATTCCGCGAGGCCGTGCTATGGAATGAACTAGTTAGTATGGCAGAATTTTCAGGGAGTCACACGGACTCCTGCATATGTCAAATCAGGGAGTCTGGCAATAAATCGGGGAGTATTTGACTCCGGACTCCCATTAATTTCGCACCCTGTATATATATGCTTCTTTTACTCAGCTTGTAATTGAATTCCTCATTCTTCCTTCCTATACGAATTCTGTTGCATCTCCTCTCATTAAATATCCGCATGTAGGCCTACTTTACCTGATCATATCTGCCCTACTCATATCTGACCAGTCAGTGAGTTGACATCCGTCTTATTTCTAATCTTGCAGGTCATAGTTTGTTATTGATATCATCTTGCATCGGTAAGATTGATTATGGTTGCTATGAGTTTTCCATTTGTTTGTATTATTAATAGTCGTAAAATAGCTGTTAATCCACACACCTAGCAGTAGCATACAGTTTGGTAATTAGTCGCAGTACTTGAGTTCACATAGCATCTCTATTATTCACTCCTGATAGCATTATAGAGAAACCACTAATTATATGACATTACCATACTATCATGACCATTTACAGGCTATCTGTACATATATATATGAACATGTATTGTAACTTAATATATGCTACTGGCACGATGGAATCTAACTGATACCATGACGACGAACTTAGTTATGACTTATGTTGAAAATAGTCGTTAGATGGCACTGGTGTAGCTCTCTACGATACAGCTTATAACTTTGCCTCAGGCTTACTATATAATGTGGTTGGGCATCAGCTGCATGTTTTCCATTTGTGAGCAAATCTTGAGAACTAAACGCTGAGAATCTGCAGTCCACACTATCTTTCAAGTTCCTAGATAGTACCTGATAGACCTCTGTATGTCATGCACACACACGCGCGCACATCGCACGCACGCACTCACACGCACGCACGCACTCGCGCATACACGTACACAGACGCACGCACGCACGCATGCACGCACATGCACGCACGCATACGTTCACGCACACATACACGAATGCACGCACGCACACATGTACGCATGCATACGTTCACGCACACATACACGAATGCACGCACGCACTTTAGGGTTAGGGTTAGGGTTAGGGAGTAGGCGTAGGCGACTCCCTAGACTCGTTAATGGAGTAGGCGAGGTACGATCCGGCATATTAGATAATAGTATTTAGTACCAGGGTACGTTCCGGTATACCGGACCGTACCCAGGGCACGTTCCGGCAGTACCTTGGGGGACATAGACCCTCTCAGCGTTAGTTAGAAGCGGGTCGCTTTGAACTATTACGATATTCATGGCAGACATTATATATGCGCCTAAAATATGCGAACCGACTAGGACCAGTACCGTCTATAGGACCAGTCTATACCATATACAGATGTATGTTTTAGCCAGGCGTTCTGCTTTACACGCAGCCCTAGTTGGTGGCAATTCTAATGTGACATGCACGTATTTGACCATTTTGCAATACGTCAACATCAGCGAAGCGTATTGCTCAGTGTGTGCTTTCAGTGAAGGGGTTTAGTTTTGCGAAAACAAGGGCGTGTACGGGGCACGCATTCGCCTTCGTTAAAAATTCACAGCTTGTTTTCACATCGTTCGAAATTAAATTTCAAGTGGCGTAGAAGGTGTGACGTCGCTTTGCAATTGCTAATTTTATGGTGGCAATATATTATTCTATTTATATACTAATTTGAAGGACCGTTCATGCAGTCGTGCGCAAATGATGGATGGGCTCTTATGTCATCGCCGTAATAAACGATGGCATTATCATAATATATTACCATTATTACAATACAATAGTCATTACAAGGTTATATGATCCATGGAGATTGAGCTACTCAAGCTAAGTACTATAGCAATGCTCTACGCGTGAAGATTGCGTGCGTCCGTGGTGTCCGCGTTTACATGTACGTGTAGTGATGGAATTTAATTCGGCTAAGCACCTTATAATTATTAAAGTTAAAGGTTCGGATAAAAATCTGTCATGTTAAACTACAGATGGGTATGTGGTTCAAATAAGAAGAATAATTCTAACAAAATGATATTTCATTTAATTTTGATAAAAACCTGAACATGCCATGCCGCTGCATTTATCATATAGAACGCATATCACCGCAATAAAATCCAACCATATTCAATAAAATTCAGATTTATTTAACAGATACTGGGCATGCGCGAACACGTCTTTCGCTATGCTACGGGTGAATTAAGCTTGGCTAGGCCCCTTATGAATATTCGCAAGTGACTGGATTTTCTAATCATCCGCAATCCTATTTTATTTAAGGCTGGACAGCTGCACATGCCACGTGGAACACGTATCGCCACCTATTGACAGACTTAAATTTTATTAGTGTTACCATGTTACGTAAGACAGGGCGTTTCATTATTGACGTGAGGAGGAGGAGGAGGAGGAGGAGGAGGAGGAGGAGGAGAAAGTGGATGATAAGGAAGACAGAATAATTATCATTCTCTACAGCATCTCATCCTTTAATCGGAAATATGTGCCATCTACATTGGTGCATAATTTTAATTAAATAATATTTATTTTGCCCAATAATGAGCATATAGACGAGGACAAATCCTATACCACTACATACTACAGCAGTTATACCGCATACTACAGCATACACAGCATACTACAGGTTGAAATATGCGAAGATAGATTACCCTGCTGTTAATTATTGAAGTTAGTGTATTATTGTAGTTATTGAAACTAGACATTAAGATAGATGAGTCATATAACCTGAACAATTTTCTATCTTTATTGGTGGAATTTTGTCAAATAAAATGGAACGAGAAAATTGTATTTTATGGTTGAAATTCAAGAAATAATTCTGCAGATCTATGTGAAATAGGTAATAATGCACTCGGTAGAGGGCGCGTATATGCAAAATAAGAGATCCGCGGGGAAGGAATGAAGACTTGTCGTGTGTTTATTTTTCATGTGGTAAGTTTGAGCCGGTTTTAATATTAATTAGAGTAATTTTCCATTGTCTGTCCGGTGGAATGTATAAAAGGTTATGGCGACGAAGGCTAGCATCGACTTTTTTGCGGGATTACCCGGTACTTTTTGATTAGTAGTATATCGGATAAGTAGTGTACGTGGTCATACACACCACTGGTCACAGCAACATCAACATGAACAGCAATGTTCATCATTCGTCACATAAACATCAACATCACAAGGTGACGGCGGGATTATGATCTAAACTATTCATGACGCTCCCCTATTTCACCGAGCCATGGGCGACTGTTATGCTGAAGCGAAATTCCTCGCATACATGTCTTGCAATGCATCATTGCGTGTGCGTTTTTGAGTTACCGGGCATAGGGTCAAAAATGTACATGTAGAGTAAAATGTTGGAAAAACACTAATTACACGAGAACAAAATATAGTATTCTGTTCTCAGCAATTACTACGAATCACTATATGTCAGTTCATCGATATGTCTAGACGCAAGCTATAGTCGAGATCTATTCGGCCGGGGACGTGATGTTTGTAGCTCTTCTTTGTGCGTTTTAGTACCCTAGCTAGCATTGATGTTCCTCCACAGTTGAGTTATATTATATGCATGGTGTCCAAATGGAGTTGGTATACTCCGCACCGTTACACGTGGGCTGACCGGAGCGGGGAGCTGTTACAGTAGATCGTATGGACAATCTCCTACTCTCGATACTCAAAGGTACGTTTGTTGATCACGTTGTTCCGCAAAGCGACGTCAGCTTCGATAATATCAGGAGTAGATAATAGGGAATCCCTATTATCTACTCCTGATCATATGAGTCCAAGAATCCCCAGAGATGATTTCTTTACTAGCTATATATATGTATATATATATATGATATATAAATCCCCAGAAGATGATTTCTTCTCACCTAAGCTATATCATCTATATAGTCATAATATATATATATATATGATCATATCAGAAGTAGAATAATAGGTGGTAATAGGAAATTGTTCCTATTACTCTACTTCTGATATATATATATTATATACATGGGGTAGAAGAAACTGTTGAACAAGGAAGTCAACGGACTCCCTGCCTCAAAAAGAGGATGTCCGCAGCAGAAATGAGGGAGTCGCAGCTCTGCCAGGTTCAAAATTAAAGATATTCACAATATCGCCATGGGCTTGATTGTGTGAAGATTCATGCGGTCTGCAGGTTTGCCAAATTCTTGGTCATTTGCTGAAAAAATATCATGGGCTAATTCCGCGGAGGCCGTGCTCATGGAATTAAGCTAGTTGGTATTTGGCAGAATTTTCCAGGAAGTCACACGGACTCCTGCATATGTCAATCAGGGAGTGAGCGAGTAAATCGGGGGAGTATTTGACTCCGCGACTCGCCGTTAATTGTTTGCACCGCTTATATATATGCTTCTTCATACTCAGCTTGTAATTGAATTCTCATTCTTCCTTCCTAAGATTACGGAATTTCTGTTGCATTCTGCCTCTCATTGATATATCGCATAGTAGGCCTACTTTACCTGATCATATCTGCCCTAACTCACTATCTGACGAGTCTGGTGAGTTGACATCATTCTTATTTCTAATCTTGCAGGTCATAGTTGTTATTGATACATCTTGCATCGGGTAAGATTGATTATGGTTGCTGATGAGTTTTCCATTTGTTTGTATTATTAATAGTCGTAAAGATAGCTGTTAATCCACACAACCTAGCATACAGTTGGTCAATTACTCGGCATACTTGACTTCACATAGCATCTCTAAATCTCTATTATTCACTCCTGATAGCATTATAGAGAAACTACTAATTATATGACATTACCATACTATCCATGACCATTTACAGGCTATCTGTACATATATATATGAACATGTATTGTAACTTAATATATGCCTACTGGCACGATGGAATCTAACTGATACCATGACGACGAACTTAGTTATGACTTATGTTGAAAATAGTCGTTACATGGCACCGGTGTAGCTTCTCTACGATACAGCTTATAACTTTGCCTCAAGCCGCTTACTATATAATGTCGCGGTTGGGCATCAGCTGCATTGTTTTCCATTTGGAGCATATCTTTGAGAACTAAACGCGTGAGAATCTGCAGTCCACACTATCTTTCAAGTTCCTAGCATAATACCTGATGAGACCTCTGTATGTCATGCACACACACCGCGCGCACATCGCACACACGCACTCACACCCGCCACGCACCACTCGCGCATACACGTACACAGACGCACGCACGCACGTCATGCGCGCACATGCACGCACCGACTACGTTCACAGCCACATACACGAATGCACGCAGCACACATGTACGCATGCATACGTTCACGCACACATACACGAATGCACGCGACCGCACACGTTCACGCACACATATCCACATGTACGCTTGCATACGTTCACGCACACATGCACGAATGCACGTACGCACACGTTCACGCACACATGTACGCACGCATACGTTCACGCACACATACACGAATGCACGCACGCTCGCATACGTTCACGCACACATGTACGCTTGCATACGTTCACGCACACATGCACGAATGAGCGCACGCACGCACGACGTTTACCGCACACATGTACGCATGCATACGTTCACGCACACATACACGAATGCACGCACGCAACGTTCACACCACACATACACATGTACGCTTGCATACGTTCACCGCACACATGCACGAATGCACGCACGCGTACGTTCACGCACAAATACACGAATGCACTACGCTACGGTCCACGCACACAATGCACATGCACGCACGCATACGTTCACGCACACATACACGAATGCACGCATACGTTCTCACGCCGGTCACGCACCTATCACATGCACGCACGCATACCTTTCTACCGCACCATGTACATGCACGCACGCATAACGTTCACGCACACATGCACGTGCACGCACAGTGCACGCACGCATACGTTCACGCACACATGCACATGCACGCACGCATACGTTCACGCACACATGCACATGCACGCACGCATACGTTCACGCACACATGCACATGCACGCACGCATACGTTCACGCACACGCATACGTTCACGCACACATGCACATCACGCACGCATAGTACGATCGACGGGCACGCAATACTTCACCGCACACATGCACATCCCGCACGCCATGACGTTACGCACACATACACATGCACGCACACAGGTATACATAGGTCAACACGTGGAAAGGTAATTAAAGCTCCAACCTTTAGGAAACACGTGACGCCTCATAACCCCGGGGTTCTGAATATTAGATCAACAATATTCATTCATCGAACTCGGTTCCATGATTATGCGGAGTCTATCCGCGCCCTATATGCAATGCAACTAGTTCAGTATCTTGAGGGACGAACGTGTCAGTGAATCTATGGAAACGTACGCTACATACACACAAGAACACACAAGAAGGTGCGTGAGACAAAAAGGTCGTTCGAAACTTGTCGGCAGTTACTCACTTCTACAAGGCGCTGGCTATTGATTTTGCGAAGCAGTCATGTGATGAGGGGGTGGCATGATAAACTGTGTGGGATGTGATACAAGTGCTGCTACTGCTGCTGCTGCTGCTGTTGGTGCTGCTGTGGCTGCTACTGCTGCTGCTACTGCTGCGACTGCTGCTGCTGCTGTTGCTGCTGCTGCGGCTACTGCTGCTGTTGCTGCTGCTGCTGCTACTGCTGCTGTTGCTGCTGCTGCCGCTGCTGCCGCTGCCGCTGCTGCTACCGCAGCCGCCACTGCTGCTGCTGCTGCTGCTGCTGCTGCTGCCACTGCTGCTGCTGCTGCTGCTGCTGCTGATGCTGCCGCTGCCGCTGCTGCTGCCTCTGCCACTGCCGCTGCTGCTGCTGCAGCTGCTACTGCTGTTGCTGCTGCGGCTACTGCTTCTGCCACTGCTGCTGCAGCTGCTACTGCTGTTACTGCTGCTGCTGCTGTTGCTGCTGCTGCTGCTGCTGATCCTTCCGATGCTGCAGCAACGGCGCGTGCGCCGCATATGCACGGCCGCGGATTGGCACTGGCAGATGTCGGGCCTGATTCTCATCTGTAAACGCTGCTCTATTTCTGGCAGGTCATACGTGCACCGCAGCCACCATTGAAGCAAACTTCATGCGCGTGTGTTGGCGCGCGCGCGTGTGTGAAGAAGAGAGAGAGAGAGAGAGAGAGAGAGCTCCCCGGACCGGCGCACACACACACTGCAGCCCGCGTTTTTCAGTCTGCACGTTCTTACGTTCGTCTAGAGCGAGATCCCGGCGCACACACACACTGCAGCCCGCGTTTTTCAGTCTGCACGTTCTTACGTTCGTCTAGAGCGAGATCCCGGCGATACGTCTCAGACACCGACCGGCCGACTCAAACGATGTGATCGTCTCGATAGCCTCTCTCGCGTCTCGACCAAGACGCGTCTCAGCGAACCTTCGCGCGACTCAACGTCGAAATCGGCCGTGACGCGTCAAGTGATCGCCGCCTCGGCCGCTGTCTCTGCCTCTCTCACACGCCGCGAGACACCGTGAGATAGTGAGACACCACGAGATAGCGAGACACCACGAGATAGTGAGACACCACGAGATAGTGAGACACCACGAGATAGTGAGACACCACGAGATAGTGAGACACCACGAGATAGTGAGACACCGCGAGATAGTGAGACACCGCGAGATAGTCAGACACCACGAGATAGCGAGACACCACGAGATAGGGAGACACCGCAAGATCGTGAGACACCACGAGATAGTGAGACACCACGAGATAGTGAGACACCGCGAGATAGTGAGACACCACGAGATAGTGAGACACCGCGAGATAGTGAGACACCACGAGATAGTGAGACACCGCGAGATAGCGAGACACCGCGAGATAGTGAGACATCACGAGATCGCGAGACACCAGGAGATAGCGAGACACCACGAGATAGTGAGACACCGCAAGATAGTGAGACACCGCAAGATCGTGAGACACCACGAGATAGTGAGACACCGTAAGATCGTGAGACACCACGAGATAGCGAGACACCGCGAGATAGTGAGACACCACGAGATAGTGAGACACCGTGAGACACCAGGAGATAGCGAGACACCGCGGGACACCGCAACACTGCGAGACGCCGCTGGACACGGCATGGTGATGCGACTCTTCCCCTGCCTGCACTACCGGCAGCTGAGGGACGAGGACTACATGGACTTGGACAGACTGGTGAGGTCGCCGACATCGCCGCCGCCCGCGCCCTCACCGCTCGGATCGGTTCTCGGCGGGCGCCGCAAGGCACACACGGCGCCGCTCCCCGCCGCGGGGAAGGCGGCGTGCGATGGCGGCGGCGGCGGCGTGGGGGCGCCGGCGAAGCGCGAGGTGGCGCGGCGGCGGCAGAGCTGCGACGAGCAGCGCTACACGCCCTGCTTCCCGAAGACAGGACGACCCGCTGCCGACCCGAAGGTCGCGACGCCATCGTCGTCGTCGGCGTCGTCGCGGCGACCGTGCGGCGGCGGAGGCTGCGGAGCGGGAGGAGGAGGAGGAGGGAGGACGGCGGGTTTCTCCTGGCAGCAGCAGCAGAAGTCGCGAGGATGGCTTCACTCGGACGAACAGTTGGCGGAGGGCGGCGTCTGCTTTGCCGTGCGGGTAAGCAACGACGCTCGCGATGTGTGGGTGGGGGAGAGGGGGGGTGGGGAGAC